CTTTCGAGTTGAAGTTCCATTGGTCCATCGAAGATACTTAATATTTTTATACAAGGAAGTTTGGAATCCGGTTTTTAGAGAATTCGAATAATTGCAAATTAAGAACGAATTTAACCTATTGAAATTATCAATGGAACCGTTTCAAATGTTGCAAAAGATAATTAGATTCGTTTATCGTGTGATTGATAAAAATATTTCTTTTTATAAAATATAATATCAAGGAAGCTAAATGATATATAGATAACAAAAAGTAACAAATTTTGAAAAGAAAAAAAAAACACGCGCACAAGATCAGTTTTCAAAATTAACAATCACGTGCTATACAATTTATACTCAAAATATAATATAGTGTTCGGTTTGTTTTCATAGTTATACAATTTACTCATTTAAATAATGTGACCAAATAAAATCCTTCGATCTCAAATTAACTAGATATGTAAAGAGGAAAAAAAATTACCAAACACAAACTCAGACCTTAAAAGCTTTGGATATTTAGAAAATTCTCAATATGTGATATGATCATGAGAAGCAACACGGAAATTATGATGGGGTCGAGAAACTAGCAGCTGAATCGGAGCTCAGTCCAACCATAACACATTTTGAATCTGACCAGAAAGACCATATGCTCATTTTTCGAAGTGTATCTACTCAGCCATGATGATTCAAAGCATGAAACTAATTAGAAAATCTTCTCATCTCATTTACAGAACATATCGAAGAAGAATCAGATCAAATGGAGTTGAAAGGAATAAGTTATTCAATTTACAAAACAGGTCATTTCCTATAACCCGGTTCAAACCCGTGCGCATTCAATGACGAATTCCGACCAGACCAGAATGAGTTAAGCTACAAAACGAATTGCTCTAAAATTTGATCCATTAAAGAAGCCCATGAAGTTGGATTCGTCCCAAAAGCTATAAAGAAAGATCATATTTCGTTAAATTCAAAACAACATTTACTTGGTAGTTGTTCTCTCTCTTACGTGCACTTTGGAGTTGAATTTCTTCCTAGATGTTATGTATGTTGAGCTATTATTGTGGACGTTTTCTGATGTAATTTCCTCTATATAATGAGGCTGATTTCATGAATAAAAATTAAGCATTTGAGTATAATATTTGGAAACTTTGAGAGTGATTTTCATTTCTGTCAATGGTGTGTAATATCCATTGATTGATTCGGTTAATAATATCTATTAATCAAATGTCAATTACAATCAAAACTTGGCTCGTCTTGGTGTGTCATATCCAAGAAGTTATCGATCCGTCTTGGTGCATCATATCCGAGGGAATCC